TTTTGAATTTCTAAGGGGTCTGTTGTTATTTCATCTTTACCATTTCTGATTGATGAGATTAGAGATTTTACTCTTTTTTTCTTGGTTAGGTAGACCAAAGGTTTATCTATTTTATTGACCTTTTCAAGGAACCAACTTTTTAATTTATTGATCTGTTCTATAGTCCTTTTATTTTCAATTTCATTTAATTCTGCTCTAATTTTGGTTATTTCTTTTCTTCTGCTAGATTTTGGATTGGAATCTTCTTCCTTTTCCAGTTGCTTGAGATGTCCCATTAAGTTGTTAACTTCCTCTTTCCGTTCTCTTGAGGAAGGCTTACAATGCTATAAATTTCCCTCTTATGACTGCCTTTGTGGTATCCCAGAGGTTCTGATAACTTGTGTCTTCCTTATTGTTTTGTTCTAAAAATTTGGTAATTTCCTTCTTGATCTCATCTCTGACCCATCTATCATTCAGCATAAAGTTATTTAGCTTCCATGTTTTTGTACGAGACTGCAAATTTCTGTTGTTACTGAGTTCAACTTTTATTCCATGATGGTCCAAGAAGATGCATGGAATAATTTCTATTCTTTTAAATTTACTGAAGTTAGACTTAAGACCTAAGATTTGATCGATTTTGGAGTATATTCCATGGACTGATGAGTAAAATGTGTATTGAGTTTTATTACGATGAAATGTTCTGTAGAAGTCTGTTAGGTCCAAAAGTTGAATGGTTAAATTTAAATCTAAAATTTCTTTGTTCAGTTTCTTATTGGAGGATCTGTCCAACACTGCCAAAGGAGTGTTGAAATCTCCTACTATGATGGAGCTGGGAGAGATCAAGTTGCTCATGCCAGTTAAAGTCTCTTTTATAAATTGAGGTGCATTCTGGTTGGGTGCATAGATATTGATAATTGAGATCTCATCATATTGAGTATTGCCCTTAACAAATATAAAGTGGCCATCTTTATCTTTGGTTACTTTTGTTGGTTTAAAACCTATTGTACCTGTGAATAATATTGCAACACCTGCTTTTTTCTGCTTTCCATTAGCCTGGAATATAGATGACCATCCCTTCACCCTGAGTCTATATTT